AGAAGAAGAAGAAGAAGAAGAAGAAGAAGAAGAAGAAGAAGAAGAAGAAGAAGAAGAAGAAGAAGAAGAAGAAGAAGAAGAAGAAGAAGAAGAAGAATCACACAGATCCCAATCAAAAAAAGCACTTGCTGCACCAAGTATCAGGGGATTCATAAGACGGTAACCTAGTCTGAGGCACCTTAAGACCATGGTCCCCTAGACCTGCTGCTCCCACAGGGGACCCTAAGGGCCCTCATGGGAGGACCAAGTGTTCCAACCAGGAAATCCCAGGGCAGGAAAGGGCAGACTCCAGCACCTCCCGCTGACAGCCACAAAGAGCCCACCCCCCATTCTCCCTGTAGCTTTGAAGACACACTGGAGATCCCACATCTCTGGACCCACATAGCACTTTTGTTCTACTGCGCGACAGTGTGACCTTAGGGTATGAGCTCAGTGTCAGCCATACAGTTCTGGCACAGATGCTACTAATTTAGACGACCGTCTCTCTGTGCCCTCCACCCAGGATAGTGACGCCCACAGCCTCTGGCTGTAGGCCTCAGGAGCCCTCTGAAGGCAACCTGGCCAGAAACACGAAGTGCCAGTCCTTTTCTACAAAACAGCAAGGGGAAGGTCAGGCCCAGCATGGAACAGAGAGAGCCAGCTCTAACTCACAGGGACCACAGACACACAACTCCTAGCAACACCAAGCAACAGAATAGAAAAGGTATAAATCGGGCTGGTGAGATGGCTCAGTGGTCTAAAGCACCTACCTAGAACAAGCTAAGCTAAAGCACAGAGACCGCGGTTCAATCCCCCAGCACCACAAGCCAGCCTGCCCCGCCCCCTGGTGGGCTGAGCTGGCCACACACACACACACGCACACACACACAAATAAATAAATTTTTTAAAAAAATTAAATTAAAAAAAAAAAAAAGAAAAGGTATAAATCAAACAAAACATCTGCAGGATTGGAATGTTGAGCATTGCCAAAGAAATTTAAGACCAACTCAAGGACAGAGATCCACCATGTTCATAAACCAAACACAACCTCTGGGCCACCCTTATCCATGACCCAGAAAAACACTGCAAAAAATGATGAGCAGATTCTAAACTTTCTGTGTAAAGCAAAAACCAAAACGATTTTGAAAATGATGCTGGTGGAGTCAAATTATCTGGTTTTTAAGGTTCATTACAAACCTCCAGTATCAGTGAAATGTTAGACAAGGGGGTTAATTTAATCTAGCATACTATGGAAAAGAATCCAGAGGTAGACTTACAAAGTTGCATAAGAAATTCAAGGACAAAGAACAGTTGACCAGCAAAAGAATTCCTAGGATAAAAATGCCAATGGTACAATATGGTAGCAGAAGTGTGCACACATTTTTTGTGGGAGCACACACATATTTGTCTAGTCACTTCAAAGAAAGGCTTTTGGTACCAGAAGTGGGGTTGTTGCTGTGACTACACTTGACCAAGTGGTCCGGGAGCCTTTGGAACTGGCTTCTGAGCAGAGCTAGAAAAGATTTAGAGATGCTAGCTGAAAAAGCAGAGCTGGGGCAGTTTAGATTATTCTGTATGGGAGAATCTGGTCAGAGCTCAAAACATCAGAAGGCTAACAGAAAACCTGCCTGTAAAACCCAGGCTCAGGAGGTTCTGGGAAGAAGGACTGCATGGACTGCTGGACTCCAAATGATGTGTGTTATGACATGGCAAAAAGTCTGCCTGCACTTTACTTGTGTCCAGAGATTTTTGTCTGAGACTGAGATTAAGGGTGGTATACTAATTAATCTGGCAGAAGAAATTTCAGGGTAGTCTAATGTTGGAGCTATGACATGGCTACTGTTGGGATTTCATGCCAGGTTTATGTTAAGAATAATGAGAAAGGGGCTGGTGAGATGGCTCAGTGGTCTAAAGTGCCTACTTAGAACAAGCTTAGCAAAGCACAGGGACCGCGGTTCAATCCCCCAGCACCACATGCCAGCCAGCCCCGCCCCCTGGTGGGCTGAGCTGGCCACACACACACACACACACACACAGAGAGAGACACACACACTTATAAATAAATAAAATTTTAAAAAAAGAAGAAGAAGAATGAGAAAATAGATGAGCAGAATAATTCAAAACATGAGTTTGGCCAGAAACTATGCCCCAATAAAGTTGTGGCCTGAAAAGACAGAACAGAGAAGAAACTGGTTGCTGAAAAGACTAGCAAGAAAAAGCCAAGTATTTCAGAAGGAAACAGAAACGATGGCCTCAGGGCATCACAAAAAGCAATAGAACAGGGGCCGGGGAGATGGTTCAGTGGAATAAGTGCTTCTCTGGCAAGCGCAGGGGCCTGAGTTCGATCCCCAGTTCTGCCAAAAAAAAAGCAATAGAACTCCAGCCTTTGCAGCCTCACAGGTGCAAAGATGAAAGACTGCTTTAAGATGAAAGTGCCAGAACCACATCCCAGGATGGTGGTGCCCAAGGGAGGTCATTGCTCAGGATGTGGCTCACAGGCACTCAACCCCGGCAGCAAGAGAAAGAAGCCCGGCTACTGTTCTAGCTGGCAGCAGACGTTGGCACAATCCTTTAAGTGCTGGTTTAGGTACACGCACAGTGGAAGAGTTCTGGGTCAGAAAGGCCTGGGATGCTAGGCAGTGTGCTCAAGAGGGCAGTGGGTGAAGTCTAAGGTGCACTAGAGACCCAGAAGTTTGGAGAAGCTAGGAACATGGGTCATCTGAGAAAAACTGCAAGGAGGGGGCAAAACCAGCCCAAGAGAAAAGCCACAGAACATCTCTGTGGGGCCCCTGCAATGCCATAGGGGTGGAGCTACCCAATCCTTTGGAGTTCACATCTTGCCACCAGTTGCAGAGCATGTTAGAAGTGGAACTGTGGGATTTAATGTTTGTCCTGTGGGATTTTGGTATTTATTCTCATTCCTTGCAATCCCCATTTGTAACTTTTTGAATAGAAATGTCTATCTTGTGTCACTAAATGCTGGAAGTGTTTAACTTTCACTTATACGGGGGCTCACAGCTAAGAGTATGCCTTAAATCTCAGAGAAGACTTTGGACTTGGTCTTTTCCGCATGCTGACAGTGCTAGGACGTTAGCAACTCTTGGAGTTGGACTAAATGCCTTTTGCATAAAGGGATGTGCATGAGCCTTTGGGGGCTAAGGGTGGAATGTTATGGTCTGTGTCTAGATGCCTCACCAAAGTCTCAAGCAGCCCATGTATAGGGCTTTTTCAGGGATGGCTGGATCTAGAGTGTGTGATGCTGGGATTAAGGGTGTGTAATTACTGTATCAGTCCACCAACTGGCTTACCATCACCCTTATTCCAGTAGCTCTGATAGAATACAAAACAGGGAGAAAGAGGCTGCTAAAGACCCTTGCTGGCTTTGCCACCTTCTGCCTCCCATCCAGTTTCTCCTCTGTGATGCTTACCTGCTACTATGCTGCCGTGCAGTCAGCCAACTAGGGACTGAAACCTCTACAAGTTGTGAGCCAAAAGAACCTTTCTTCCTTTAACTTTGGGCATTATGTATTTTGTCTCAGCAATGAGAAAAGTAACTAGCACACAGGGTATCAGCCAGACACCACCTCCAGTCTGACGGTCACCTGTTAGACATAGGTGCATCCATGTGTGGCCTGTGTCAGTGTCTGAGCACACGTGTGCATGTAACCGTACAGGAGAAACAACCTTACTCTGCATGCTTTAGTGCAACTAAAATGTTCACCATGTGTATAAATAAGGTTTCATATAACTCCAAAGTTAGAGGGCCAGGGAGATGGCTCAGTAGAATAAGCGCTTGCCTGGCAAGTGCAAGGGCCTGAGTTCAATCCCCGGTTCCACGGGGGGAAAAAAAACAAAGTTGGGTAAATTTTAAGAATAAATTCCAGAAAAATAAAAGATGCTGCTGGAAACCTCACACAAGGCAGGAGGGATGGGCATCCAGTAGTGTGTTTGCTTCAAGGTCCTTTCCCTTCTCACTGCCAACCTACTTGATGCTACCTGGCCAGTGCTGAGCAGAGCCCAGGGTTCCCACCCACCCCCAGCAGCAACAGGCTGGCCGAGGAGGAAGCCCCACAGGTGACACACCTCCTAGCACACAGAAAGTTCCATAGACACCCCCCAGCAGCTCACTGACCACATGAGAGTTCCCAGTACCTGCTATCCTGACTCTGCCTGGGCTACTACCCCAGCCTGTGCCCTGCTGGAGTACTTCCTTTGGCTCACCCTGAGAACCTTCCTTGCCTCCCTCATACTGGTCCTATCTGGGTCATCAGCTCTAGCCCTGGGAGTCAGCCGTAATTTTCCCTCTTTCTGGAAGCAACTCTGGGCACACTGTGCCCACGCCTTCCTCAGAACTTGGCTGGTAACGCTGCCCAGGGTCCTGCGTTTTTACCAAGCAGAAAAGTCCAGTCCTGGCCAGGGCTCAGCAGCAAGGAAACAAAGGTCCACAGGCAGGGAGGGATTTGGGATTCTAGTTGGAGAAAGACCAGACTGAAACTAAGTGAGACTCGTGCTGCCCAGACAGTTTTGGGAGATGGAGCCAGGAGAGAAGCTGGTTTAGTTTCTGGGGGCAGGGGCCCTGCCCTACTCCCCTTGCGGTGGGAGCCCCGTTTGTCCCCTGACCCAGTGCAAGCCCCTGTTTAGAAGCGACTGCCCTCCTCCGCCCCACGGGGAGTGTCCCACGTGCTCAGCTGTTACTCCTGAAGCAGGATGGACTTTGCCCACTCTCCAGGGAGCGGCCAGGGAGGTGGCTGGGTGGGTCTGAGACCCCGCTGGGTGGCACCGCCCAGAGATCGTGGGCAGTCCCTCCACCTCACGGCCTGGACAAGGGTGCTTAGGCTGCCCCAGGGTCCCAGGGTCGGTCGCGACGCCCAAGGAGCTGCTGTCGGGTTCCCGCGTGGGGGTCCGGTCGCCGGGTAGGGGCGTGGACACCTTACTCACCTGTCGAGGTCCTGTTCAGGCCGCCGTTCTCCTGCAGCAGCCGGGACCACTTCAGGGCCCTCCGGGTGAGCACCACCAGGTAGGCAGAGAGGAACTCCTCGTAGGCGGCGTAATCGAAGTCTTCGGGACGTTCGAACCCGTAGGGGTCGACCCTGCAAGACGCGGGCGGCGGGTGCCGAAGAGCTTTTGTGGATGGACTGGGGCGAGCCTCTCTGCCTCCCTATCCGCGCATCCCCTCCCCGCCCCGTCCACCCCAGTCCTGCGACTCCCACCCACCTAGGCCCGCGGGCCGGCGAGCGTTCCGCCGGCTGCATGCGGAGGACTAAGCAGCGCTACCCCTCGCGCGCCTCAAGCCTAGGTGCAGGCGCTTCCGGCGGGGCGGGGCGGGGAGGCACCGAGGCGGGGCGTACTGTTCTGGGCGGAGCCACAAGGGAGGAGTCAGGCAGGGGAGGTGCGCGGGGCGGGGCATCTGGCCAAGGGGCGGGGCCGGGAGCGGTATGGGGCGGGGGCAGTGAGCTGGGCGGGGTTAGGGCGTGGCTAGGGGCGGGATGGGCGGGGTTGGGGCGGGATGGGCGGGGCGGAGCTGTGCTCTCAGGGAAGAAGATCGTAGGGTGCCTGTCCTTTCGCTCTTGGTGCCCCGCGTCAGACCCTTGCTCCTCTTTTCTTACTCAGAAAAGCAGCAAGTTTTTCCACTTGCTCCCCTCCAAGCCGACCTGGCGTCCACTCAGGACAGCCTCCTGGCTCCTGCCTCTCCACACCACGGAAGCCTTGACCAGAAACCCGTGGGGCGGAACACGTCCCCACCCTGGCCCATGTCTACAACCGTGTCTACATGGCCCGCTCTGGGTCTCCTCGCCCTTGATCTCTCTACCCTGGGTCTCCTTGTCCTAGATCCTCTCTCGCGCCTGGGTTCCCTCCAGTGCTCTGGTGCTCCCCACTCTGGGTCTCCCTGCCCTGGGTTCATCCCTAGGTGTCACCCTGAATCCCCTACCTGAGGCACCCCTGTGCTCCAATTGCTGATCACTGCTGTGGCCCCGCCTGGGTGGCAGCTCTGTGCTCTGGATCCCTGATCCCTGTCCATTTGGTGTCCTGAGGTGTGAACACTGGCAAAAAGAGCCAGGCCTGGTTTAGGATGAGGAGGTGGCCTCCTACAGCCTCAGAACGGTGGGCAGTGGGCACAGCAGGCGTGGGGAAGGCCTACCTTTCCCTTCTCCACACCACAAAGGCAACGCCCTTAGGAGTTCCCTCTGTGACTAGGTGGGAGTGGTCCTGGGTTTTGGCAGACTGGCTTGGATGGAGGCAATGTTCTGCAATGAGCACTGGGGCCACCAGGAGCTAGGGAGCAGGGAAAGGAACTAGATCTTCCCTGTAGGGACTGCTGGGCATTTCCAGCCTTCCCCACGCCCAGGAGACTGCAGGCACCCGAGGGATGCCAGCCCTGGCTGCAGGAGTCCAGGTGCTGGCTCTGAGGACTCACCACAACAGCCTTCTGCTTTTGGAAGACAGCGTCCCCTCTCGAACCCCACAACTTGCCTATACCCTGGCACTCTGGGGCCCTCCTCGGTACCTGGGCTGGGCTGGACATGGGGCACTGATAGGTGGCCTTTGTCCAACTTTGGCCTCATGCTTGGTTGTTCTCTCCTTTCTCCTCAAACTCCAGAGGAAGAGGAGAGGAAAATCTTTTCACAGTTCCACTCCCAGCTCTTGTGCCTTGGCAAATGCATGCTTTTTCTGCCAGTTCCAAGACTCAAGTGGGTCTTCCTGCCTGGCACAGCTCACTTCTGGCCAGGGTGCCCTTGAAGCCCCTTTGGGAGGAGTTTCCAGGTCCCACCTTAGGCCCTGTCACAACGTTGTGGAACAGCCAAAAAGCATAGGCCCTGGTCCTGCATGCTTGGGCATGAGTGTAGAGAGCACCCTTCCTCTCAGGGTTAGGATCATGTGGGCCATGTGGGCATGCAGGTCAGAGAGGCATCCTCCAGGAAGAGTGGAGGGAGAGGGAGAACTGTCTACTATAGATGAGGTGGAGCTCCACCCTCTCTCTCCAGGGTCCAGCCCAAAGCCCCTGGGACCAAGGCTTGGTGGGCTTTGTCTTTGATCTGTCTCCCTCCTGTCACCTCCTGAAGCAGAGCCAGAGCGCCTGCTACCCTTCCACAGCAATTTCCACAGGCTGTCCAGGGCAGAGGTGCTGTCAGCCTCCTGCAGACCCCTGGCACCTCAGGCCTGGGCAGGAAAGCCAACATCCCCATGCAGGCTCAGACCCATGCAAGTCACCTGTGGGCCCTGGGCCATCCCTCTGAAGGTCCAGGCAAGGCCCTGATGGCAGGCACAACCTGGGAGGAGTGAACCGGCCTTCACTGGTGAGACCACAGACACAGCAGCTGGGTCTGTTGTTCTGACGTCGAGAGGGCCAGGAGATACCATGGGCTCCTGCGCTGAGGCCAGTGCCAGTCCCCAGATACCAAAGGAGCCAGAGCTGTGCAGCCACAAGAACCTGACTGACTTCTGTGAGTGGCTGGAGTCAGATAAGGAGGTCACCACTGTAGATTAGTGGGGCTTCAGGATGTGCCAGCCAATCCTGGAGGCACTTGCCTCTGCCAGCCATGGATGAGGCTCAGGGATGTGAAGGGCGTGTGGCTCACTTCCATATCTGATAGCCGTGTATGTGTTGTTACTATTACAAGTGAAAACCAAGGCTGTTGGACGTGGTGTCAGCCCTGTGGGCTGCAAGAGATGGCAAATAAGAAAGCCCCCCTTGGCGTCCCGGAGCGGGGCTCACTGCTCACAACCTCACCCCGCAGCGTGCCAGGACAAGATGATGGTGCCTGCCCTTCTCTGCCTTTCACCTCACAGAGCCAGCACCTGCGCCCTCGCTGAGCCCGACAGAATGCTGGACTTGTCCCACTTGAAGGTCCTCTCTTCCCCGCACACCTGGCCCTCCCTGCCTCAGTGTACACTCTGGAAAAGACGACCATTTCCTGTCCTCCTTTGCTGGCAGCCCTCGTGGCGAGGGTCTTATGCACGTCAATACTCTGTAGCATCCCTACCGTGTTTCCCTGAACATAAGCCCTAGGATGAGTTTCAGGATGCTTGGAATCCAAGTCCTGACCCTGAAATAAGCCCCAGTTAAGATCATTAAAAAAAAAAAATCATTTTCTAGACAGAGAATTTTTGCATGCTTGCTGAACACAAAACAGCCATGCTAAGTTATAAAATAATATTAAGGGGCCGGGAGATGACTCAGTAGAATAAGCGCTTCCCTGGCAAGCACAAGGGTCTGAGTTCAATCCCTGGTTCCACAAAAAAAAAGAATATTAATATGTAATTAAATATAAATAATATTATGGACATTAATGCTCAAAATAAATGATAATATAAGTTATAATTAGGCAGTAAACACCCAAGTTGGCACCTCTGGATGACAGTAAAACATCTATGTAAAAAGATGATCTTGAAACTTACTGTTGAGGCTGGTGAGATGGCTCAGTGGTCTAAAGCACCTACTTAGAACAAGCTTCGCAAAAAAGCACAGGGACCGCGGTTCAATCCCCCAGCACCACATGCCAGCCAGCCCTGCCCCCTGGTGGGCTGAGCTGGCCACACACACACACACACACACACACACACACACACACACATACACACACATAAATAAATAATTTTTTTAAAAAAAGAAACTTACTGTCACATGACCCACTGAAGGACAGACACAGTGCACGAGGGATGCACACACTTGATAATGAATGGACGTGGCTGTGCCTAGTGTGAATCTCCATAATTCAATCTGTCACATGTGGTAACAGAAATACTTACTGCACTCCTATGAAAGAAATGTTTTCTGAGTTTTGCGATTTTCCATCCCTTTTGTGTGGTCCATTATTTTTTTTTTTATATGAAAAGACATTTTATTATTTGACTGTTACCATATAGCATTGGTGTGTTTCTTCCAGTGGCAGACTAAGCACAGGATACCATTTCTCTTCGATTCTCCCATGAATCTCAGTATCACCTGTCTTTTGGAGGATTCAATTTCACATGATGTCTGTGATACTGCCCGCGAGGATACCAACGATGCTTCGTTGTGAAGAACATTTTGCCAAGTCGTTCTATCAAGGGTCCTTGCTCAAGGAATTCACGTTCATTTTCTTCTAATCTGGATTTCAGCACTTGATCATGTGTTTCTTCAGTATTACGGACAGGATCTGGTTGAGGCACAGGTCTGTGTGTTCATATGGAATGTCCACAGAAGGCTGGTAGCATACTATTGTCCTGCCATCAGATGTCAAAGCAAGCTCTACTTTGCAATTATAGTCATCTGGAAGAGAAGAATACATAGATTTACAGCAAACATGAGATAAAGCTTCATTTTGGATTGGAAATAAGTGCTTCAAGACAGCTCTCTTTCATATCACCCATTTTACTGCTGCTGTGGAGCTAGGCCACCCTCTTGTCCACCATATGCATTTCTTTTTTTCTTTTCTTTTTTTTTTTTTTCCTTTCTGCAGCACCAGGGATCGAACTTGGGACCTTGCACTTGCCAGGCAGGTGCTTATGCCACTGAGCTATATCCTCAGCCTAGTTGGTCCATTATTTTTAACTGTCTCACATCTACCATCCATTTAGTTTAATGGCAACTCGGTGAAGCGCACCTTGGAGAAATCCTGCCTTAGGTGCAGAATGCACGGGATGAGGTCACTGGCACTGTTCTCACAGTGCTGTGCACTGACTACACGCACAAGAGGCACTCACATGGGGAGAGTCCATCAGATGGGGAGAGTCCATGACAGACTTGAGGGATTGGGGCCAACGCTTTGCAAAAAACAGGCACAAGGAGCTCAGGCCAGAATTCGGGCTTCGGAGAATAATTTTTTTTTTTTTTTTTTTTTTTTTTTTTTTTTTTTTGTGGAACCAGGAATTGAACTCAGGTCCTTGCGCTTGCCAGGGAAGCGCTTATTCCACTGAGCTATCTCCCCGGCCCCCATGGAGAATAATTTTTGACTTGCTTTCAGATTAGTTTTTATTTAACTTGAGAAGACTATAGAGGCTGGAAACGGCTCTAAAAATATTCCAGCCAAGAAAAAACTGGAGATGAAAAAAGCAGAATGATTAAAAATCTTTGTAGCCCAATCGTGCGTCTCTGGGGAGAGACTGGTGAATGTTTGAACTATTCTGTCATCTGCCTCGGCCTTCACCCAGTAGTACTGTCATGGAGGGCTGCTGTGGGCTAACTTCCTGGTCTGGGCCTGGCTGGACACCACCTCAGTGGGCCCCCTGGGTGCAGCAGTTGGGATCCTGGCTGTGCCTACATGCTTCTCCCTGAGGACTCAGATGTGTCCCTGGGCACTCCTGCTTCCTGCTAGGAACCCTG